AAAAATATGGGAAGAAATAAAAAGATGAAAGTGGAAGAAAACAAAGAAAAAAAAAAGAGTAGATACAAATATATTTATATAGAAAATACCTTATAACATAAACTAGAGAAGAGCGGCTCAAAGTAAATTAAACCATAGCAGACTTAAGAGAATACACGAGAAAGAACATATAAAAGATCTTAATAAACAAACTAGAATACTAAATAAATTTTATTTTATTTTGGGTTCAAAGAGATATCATTCAATGACGATCCTTGTGCTCAATTATATCATGAGTGATACCCAGAAAAACTGTCAATAAAAGAAGTTATACTTGCTTGCTATGACTATAGAAGTAAGTCCCAAGTTGATTTTTGTCATCTTAACAAGGGAGAACTCTTATCAGCATAGCATCACTAGCTATCGGGCAGATAATGAATCATCATAACCTGATGAATAGCTCGCCCCTCAATGAGGAGGGCTTATAAAACCACTATAAGACCCAACGAAGGAGTACAAAAATGGTCCAAAGGGGGTAGATAATGGTGGACAAGAAAATTCTTAAACATGTATAAATAGCTTGGTCAAGATTTCACATATTTGTCATCTCAAGCTATCGACACTCTAAGTCTACTTTATCAGGAAGGTAGTCGATCCAACCAAACTAGGAATCACCTGCCAGCAACCTGTGAGTTGCATCATCCAGGGTGGCTTAGTAGCCCTAAATTCTAAAGAGTGAGACATCTAAGCTATGGAAATACAAACAAAAACATGAATCAATATAAGAAAGAAAAAATTATTTTATGAATTACAAAGCTTAAATCATAAAACTAAAGAATATTATAGACTTTTGAGCTTGTTTAAGTTATTATTAGAATGAAATAATGTAAGTAAAAGGCATATGCAATGCAAGTTCCTTTAAATTTGGACTTCACGAATGATAATAAATGGTCAATGGCTAAATTTTTGTTTAGTAAAGCAATATAATGAGAATATAAAATGATAAAAATTCAACTCAATATAAATTCCAAGAAGGCATCTTGATTGAAAAGACAACCTATTTAACATTCTTAAGCATTCTGATGATAAATTTCACATTTTCTTTCACAATCAAATTTTAATTGTGAGCAATATAATGAATATATAAGAATTATTTCCATAATAAGAAAATTTTAATCATCTATTAAAAAAAACACTTTAATATCCTAAAATCTGAGTAACTTATTAATGCACCAATTTTTTTTGGAGTTGTTTAGGGTTTTTTGGAGGCTGACTTGAGCTAATAATAGATTGATGTTGGGAATGAGTAGATAATACTCCTTGAAGAAATTATTTAATTTAAGTCTATAGTACCTTATATGAAGAACTAAAAATAATATGAAATGTGTACATAAAATAGTGAATTTATGAATATTTATTAATATGAATTATGATGCTTATCATATTCAAGAAATTTAAGAAAATTGCAAACTAAAGCAAACTTACAAATAAAAGTGTATGATGCATCTCTTATTATATTACGAGCAAAAATCATGGCTAATTAGTAAGCATCATGCAAGAAAAAATAATAACAATAAACTTATATGCCTAATAAACAAAAACTCCATGCAACAAGGCCAATAAACAGGCTATCAAACTACAAACAAGAACATGAATTAATAAAAAATATAAGGAATCATTATATAAACTACAAAAAATAGATCATAAAAAAGGGAAACTCGTAGTTGAATCAAATAAGTTAATATTAAAGTCAAAAAATGTAATAAAAAGGCACATGTTAAAAAAAATTCTTCGAAAGCTAAACTTTCATAATGATGGAAGGCAATCAATAACTACAATATTGAATAGTGAGACATTATAATGGGAGTAAAAATAGTAAAAATTCAAGAAAATACACATAATGAGTGAGTTGAGTAGCACAATTTCTTGAAAATAAAATGGATATTAAACAATATTTAGGTGTTTTTTGATAATTGTACCCTAGTTGGGTTTATCACATTAATGAGAAGAAAAAATGAATGCAATAATAAAAAAAGGCCCTTATAGCTGATAACATCGACAATAAGTATGACAATCACAAAAAGGGCACAGAGAAAGTGAAAATGGGATTAGTTTTATGGTTTGAATTTTACAAAGCCATAGAAACAACAAAGAGTAAAATTATGAGAAAAAAAATGGGGGGTTAATGGGTAATGGATATGGCTTTAGATCACATTAATGTGGGATTAAGATTTTGAGTCATTCAAATTTTATCGAATAGTTTTAATAATAAGCTTAAGGATTTTAAGTTTTGAATCCATCTCTTTTTTACTGAAATTTTCATAGATTATAACGCAACAAGAAAATCCTCTTGGCTAGCTAAATCTACTACTAAAATATAAATAAAATAAATTATATATAAAAAATAATAACTTTTATAAATGGTTTTTTTAGCCTTATCAAACTAATATACCTATTATAGATAATAGGGTTGTAAATTACTTTGATCCAATTATTTGGCTCATTGCATATCACGTTGAGACCTGCAATGACCGAAAGGAAATAGTACCGCTAAGACTGAAAGGAAAATTTTATAAGATGGTGGTGAGACCTGCAATGCTCTATGGCGCTGAATGTTGGCCTTTAAAAGAGAAGCATAATAATAAGTTAAGTGTTGCCGAGATAAGAATGATTAGGTGGATGAGTGGCTTTACACTTAGAGACAAAATGCGGAATGAATATATTCGTGATAGGGTTGGTGTAGCTCCTGTGACAGACAAAATTAGAGAAAGTCGTCTTAGATGGTTTGGTCATATTAAACGTCGACCATTAGATGATCCGATTAGGAGAGTAGATGTTTTAAATTCGACTTGTGTTAAGAAAGGCAGAGGTAGACCTAGGAAGACTTGGGCTTATTGTATTAAAAATGATCTTAATTTACTAGAACTAAATGAAAATATGACACTAAATAGGACGCAATGGAGAAAAAGGATTCATGTAGCCGACCCCACGTAGTGGGATTAAGGCTTTGTTGTTGTTGTTGTTGTTGTTGTTGTATTGCATATCACGTTGCTTTAAGTGGAGCTTCATATAAAGCTAAAAATTAAATTAATTTAAGTGGTCTATGAACTTAAAGCTAAACTTTCAGCTCTTTACATTCTAATTTAGATCATTTTATATATCTCTTTGTTATTAAGACTTAATCACATTTATACTGATCTAGAGCATAGTTGGATTACCAAAATCAAAATACTAGCGCACACATTTCCTTACAGATAGAGAGGTAAACTCTTTTCACAAACTCATAAAGTTAAATCCTATTGGATATCAACTTTCTATAGTTTTATCATTGTAATTTTCCTTCAAGCATTGTTGAAGAATGTGTGATCAAACCTTGAATTCTTGAGACTAAAAACTTCTCTTAGTTTTGATTGTCACCAAATTACTCCATCTCGCCTTCACTCATTTCCTCAACCCCATAATGATGTGAGTGTTAAGAAGTCCTTTATTTCCTCTTGGTAGATATAAAAACTGCAAACTTAGTTTAAGTTTAGAGCTAATAAACAATGTACTAGATTCATTATTCTTAATGTGCCACTTACATATATTCAAGCATAACATTTGGTCATTTTAAATGTTATTATTTTATTGATTGTGCATTCTAAGTCAACATATTTGTTTATTTTAGAGTACATAAACTTAAGGTTTTGTATATTCAATTTTAGATTTGTATTTGTCTCAATATGAATGCTAAAATCAATGCATACTTGTCACATGTTCACCTTGACATAGGTGCCAAGCTTACACCAAGGTTAACATGTATTGATTATTTTTTTATGTCTACACCAAGCCTAATTCATTTGCTAACCTTGACGAACTATATTGTGTGTTTACCTTTTTATAAATGTTAAAGTTGATATATTCCACATTTATGTCTAGTTTATATGAATCCTAATACATATAATAGGTTTGATGCATCTTTCTACATGCTCCCCTTGGTACTAATGTGGGCCAACATGTGTTAGCTATTTAGAAACTACAAAGCTTAAATAGATCCTAAGCAAGTTGTGCTCTTCTCTTGTGTTCATTTTGGTACATACACCAAAGTCAATATGTCCCTATTTGTATGTGTCAGGCTTAGTGTAAATACTAATGTATATTGATGTCAATGTTGACACTCTAGGCCTAATAAAGATGTTGGGCTTTGTGCAATCTAATTACATATTTGCTATGGTATAAATGCCACGATGACACATCCCTTCTCTAACTTGTTGGGGGGCTTAGTAAAGATGATAGGCTTAATATATTTTAATATGTCCTCCATGGCACATATGTCAAGGTTAACACATGTAAGTTTTTTAGTTTTCCTTGAATCTAATATAGACTCTAGGATTAGTATATTGGTGCTAGATTCAACACATCATATTTCTTCAATTCGTAGAAAGCAAGGATGCCAAGTTTAGTGCATCCCTACAAAATGCTCAGTCATCATATACATGCCAGGGTTATAGGAAAAGGACCAATCTTTATTGTTTTCATTGCTTTCTTTTCCATATTTGACAATGACAAAGTACAATAAATGTATGAATATTAATTCTAAAAGACATTTTAAAGGATAACTATTTCTTCTTAACTTATAGGGTACTATGAGTGTGCTATATTGATCTTTAAGGGAGAATAGATGAGAAATGTTCGTATATTTGAATTGATAAGTACAAAAAAGATAAATCAAATATACAAATCGCCTCTTCCACAAACTTAAAAATTAGCATTTGTACAAATTAGTTATAAGAGACATCAATAATTTTATTTTCATGCTGAAAAAATTGACCACCTGACCATTGTAATAATTCATGTATCCATCTAAATTTTCCTTCACAACATTCTCATACATTTACATCTTCCTATGCTTTTTTTTTAATGAAAAATTATAAATTTAGATAATTTTATAATAAAAAAAATGAAATTGTAAGCAAAAACTATGACAAATAAACCCTTACCTTCAAACAAGATTCATTTTTTAGCCAAAGAACTATAAAATATGCAACTGACTAGTATGTATTGTGCAACATAATTTAGATTATAAACTATTTCAAGTTTAAACAGCAAAATAGCTCCATACGCTCTGAAAAGCACACACTAAAGTTTACAAACTACAGATAAGGAATCTCACAAGCATAAGGTTCAAGAAATAGTACTCAAATCTTAAGAAGCCTACAGAACATCAGTCCAAGCCTCCAAACAACTCTCTCTAGTGAGGCCCTTCATGCTGAAATGCTTCACCATTTAGATGAGCAGCTTCTCAATTGCATCCTGAGAATTACAGGAATTACAAGTGAAAAAAAAAATTTTGAATATGCAGGTGCCCAAAAAAATAGCTCAAAAGTAGGGCTGATAGTATTGAGCCGATCAGACTCGGCTTCAATACCCACTTGATGCAATTCGATTTGATATTGAGTCAAGTTGCGTTATATAAGCTGAATTTGATTTTGATTTTAGGCAATCATGGCCAAAATACCATGATTGATTGATTCTCAATCATCTAGGACATTCTTAATCAATCGAACATGCATTATACATTAATTCACTCATACAAACACGCAAATATATAGACTTCAATATAATCTGAGCTTGGCTTTAATTAAGTTCAATCCAAGTAATATTGAGGTCATTAGTTGCTCTTCTTACTTTTATCCAAACTTATCCTGAACAAAAAACCACTTTCATTTCTAGCAAATTCCATAAAAAATCTTCTAGGACAATAGATTAATGACATATGGCATGAAAATTTCATTTGAATCATTTTTTCGAACAACAAAACGCCTGCTTCGTGTAAAAATTTGAGCTTTAAAGTAAGAAGTATCATCAAAAGGAAAGCTATCACATTACCTTCAGCTGCTGGATCTGTGATTTAAGTTGGCTGCCCTCGTTGCTGGTAACCGAACAAGCAATCACTGGCCTTGTAACCCCACAAGCTCTTCCAAGAGCCTGTTTTGAAGGAACAAACACATATGGAACATTCTGCCATTACAAGAAAAAAACATAAGCCATCGTATAATATATATAAAAAAAAAAGAAAGAGCTTTAACAATTTAGAGCAAAGCTTTAACTGCTTGATAATTGCATAAATAATAAGATATCGTGCCTTCTTAAGAAAATGCGAGTGAGATTAAGAAAACTTAAATTTATTCTTTAAAATCTATTATAATGTCTATTTCATTGAAGAAAAGGGAGAAAATCACAAATGGAGTGCATGAGAAAAACTTGAAGCATAAAGCATCAAATTTCAAAACTGATTTCTAGCATTCAGTGTTCAGTAAGCCATTCAGATATTTGAAACATATTGCTCAAAAGGGATCTATCTATCACGAATGTAGGAGTTGGTGAAATGGAGAATGCATATCAACCTAGAGAGTGATTACATGTGTATAGCTATAAACTAAAACATGCATATCGGCATTAAAGGCATGAATTCAAAACTAAATAATATGCCCTTCAAAACTAAGGTAATTAAAAAGAAACAAAGATTACGATCAACACAGCAAAGTTAAGATACAATGATGGACTAAAGATTACAGAAATTACATTCATATAAAAAAAATTAGTTTAATTTTATGCAAGCAAAATCAAAAATATAAGTTAATTTGGCGTTAAAATGAAGAAAAAAAATGGAAAAGAAGAGAAAAGGATGCAATGTTTTTTACATGTTTTGCATTTACCTTCCAGTATTTCAAGTGCAGATTTAGCGTGCATATAAGAAATAAGATTTATCAAAAATACTTGTAATGGAGCTAGCACGGGCAGTAAAATACAATAGTTGAGAGCCAATTATTTCTAGTCGCCACACAATAGCGAGTGAACACTTTCCCAACACCAGAGGTTACATTGAAATCAATAAGCTCGCATTTTGCAATTAACATGAATAACAAAATATTCAAATTGGGATAACTATATGCATACAGTTTATAGATGGCATAAACCTAATAAATGAAAATTATACTTAATTAAAAGAAAAGTTTAAACATTGGAGAAAAACACTCAAAGGAGAGTTCGGAGAGCATAATAAAGAACTTTTAATGGAGGAGCAAATAATAATAACAAATAAAGAATTTTGGAGGCTTAAGCAATATATAAGTGGGATAGGAGAGGCACATTGGACCAGTTATACACAAAATTAGTAAATAGACAAACCTATAACAACATGAATTAAAAATCACAGCTTAAATGCCTCGTGATGCCAGAAAAAATGATGAAGATAAAAAGAAATACTAAACCAACATTAAGACTAGTTATAAGATTGTCAGAAATTTGTTAATAAAGCCCACTAACTTAATTTAATGGGAAGTGGTATATCATATCCATTGTTATCAAAATTAGTACAAAATTCAAAGATAATTTACATAAAAATATAAATTTAACAAAATAAATTTTATAAAAATGATTTAAAAATTTGTCGGAAATCCGGTTATTAGAAGTTAGCTCAAAATCAATACTTGAATTAGATTTTGATTTAAATTTAAACTCCTGCAGATTTAGCCAACTGTTGTTGAAAACAGAAAAAACAGAAGAGGAGACTTCTTCGTGAAGTTACTGAACAGAGATCTTCAGGTTTTAACTTAAATCAATATAGCTATTATGTACTTAAATGGATATGAAACACATTTATTATTAAAAAAAAAAACACGGAAATGCATTTAACATGACAGCAATTTTACATCTCAAAATTTAAAAACTTGTATAATAATTACACAAAAAAAAATACAAAATGTATTCAAATAATGATAAATTTGTTTCGATTGCTCATAAAATTTAAAATACATTTAGATTAATTAGATACCTAAAACTCAACTGAAGAAGAAACCGTCACATGATACCGAAGAAAAAAAATAGATTGTTAGTTTGAAATTAAAAAAAATTCATTTTTGTAGAAAAATACATTTAAATATAATAAAAATAATAATAGAAAAATAGAGCAGATAAAAAAAATTAAAATAGAGTTATGTAGAATTAAATTATTTAAATTATATATTTCAAAATAAAAGAAAAAAGATAATTTAAGTTACTTAAATATTATATTTTTTTTAAATTAAAATTTATCATTCACGACATGCGTGTCAAACAAGCATATCCATTAAATCTTTTTATTTCTTTGAATTGAAAACGATGATACGTGTTAGATACATGTCAGTGCATGTCGGACAAGTACACATGTCTAACACGACAAGCTTTATTATTACAGTGTATGCGCACACAATCCTATAGTTGTCATCTCTATATAGTTTGAGTATATAAAATTTTGAGTTTTTTCTAATTTACTAATTTGTATCAAACATCTGGTGACTTTTATCAGGTGATTAAGTAAATTTGAGTTCAATGAGTGACATTTTTTAGACCTATTTATTTGTAAATTTATGTCTTCCTAATAATTGATTGATTCATCTCTCGTGGCCCATGAGATTAGACAATTGTTTAGACCAAACTGCATAAAGAATGGTTAATTTTGCTTGACTCAAATCTCTTTATTATTACTTTGTTAATCAATTTAGTTCCTGATAGCTACTTTCGCATGAACAAACAACTTTTCCTATCAGCTGCTATCAAAACTTTAATGAGAACTATAATGGCAATAACGTATATGATCTAGAATTTAACAATAAGTTTAGAGCTTTGTGAGTTATGTTAGTGTAACAAAAACTTATGAAGAAACTCATAAGAGCACTAAAATATGCCTAAACAAGTAAAACTAATGGATGCAAATACTCTCTCAATGATTCAACTGAAAGCTTAAGCTCCAGATAAGAGTTGTTATACATAATCATTAGCTTATCCTGAAAATTTTATCACATTGCACTTGTCAAACAAGCATATTAAGTTATACCTTAATGAGTTTATATTTAGTACAAGAAAATTTAGGCATATGCATGCGTTAGTTGATGGAGAGTTTCAAGCACTGTTCCTCTTGTGCAAATTATACTTTTCTTATAAACATTTTATGTGACACTAAATTTCATTAGTCGAGTACTGTTAACTTATAAAACATTGAACTTTTATTTTTCAAAAATGTGATTACTAAGCTCGAGGGAGTTGGTGTGAAAAGAAGCTGAAGGATTTTGGTTAGGGAAGACCCATGTAAAGGGGTTCACCTCTGATCATGTACAAAGTCCTTTGGCTAGTAAAAAGACTTGGCTTAGTTTATTGCAAAGAATGAGATCACCAAGTCATATTATTACAAAATGTAGACCAAGGTGGACCACTTTCAGGGTATGAAGATCCAATGACAAGTGCACTTCCATTATTGATAAAATTATTTATGTTCAAGTTCTTACATGTGTTAAATTAGGTGGCATCCAAGTATTATCATGTAGTACAATATTCAACCCTTTGGGACCTGAGAGCATAGATTACTTGGTTTGAAGATCATTTATAAAGTAGATTTAAACATCTTGCTACAAACATGAGTCAATAGGAATACCAAGTTGTACTAGGAAAAGACATGCAAAGAGGTTTAACTCTAATCATGTGACAAGTCTTCTAGCAAGAACAAAGATATGGTTAGGTTTTGTTCAAAAAAGAATGGGAGGATTAGGTCATACTATTAAAATATTTTGACCACAGTGATAGCCACTTCAAAGATATGACGACCGAATGATAAAGAAATTTTCATCATGGATAGATCCACTGCGATGTGCAATTGGAAGCGTTAAATTGTGTTAAATAAGATTTGTATGGTTATCCAGTACTCAGTCCTTTGAGGTTTTAGAGCATAGAGAACTTGATTTTGAAGAACACTTAAAAAGAATATCAAAAACATATTGCTACAAATATACGAGTCAAAGGGGGGTATTATTATAATTGCCTCAAATTTATTAAGCAGACTCACTACATTGATATGGTGGAAAGCAATCTTTAAGATCTATCCTTGTAATAAAGATAAGCTCAAAATTTAAAGCATATGATTTTAAGAATAAATAATAATTCACATGAATCATCTCTCGAATAAAAATAAGTTCAAGGCTTCGATACATATTTTGTTATTGTGAATTAAATCAAAATTCAAATTTAAACAAAACTTTGACTTAAATTTTCAATCCATAAACTTCTGCAAATAGAAGAAGAAACCAAGAGCTTGTGTGGCCTAAAAGTTGTAGCCAACTACTAATAAAAATATAAAAAATAGGAGAGACTACAATGAAAAATAGTTTCAAGGGGCAATCACTCTTAAGAGCATAAATTATATCCATGCATTTATTATCCCATTATGTCTTTATTGTATTTTTACAATAAATCAGATTTGTTTATTTGTTTGGCTTGAGAGGTTTGCTTCATTTATAATGAGATTGACCTACTTCGAGAATAAAGAAGAGCTTTTTCAAGTGTCATATTTGTTTGTACAAGTGAGTGATTCCTTGATAACGGATCAATTGCTTCCCCCTCTCTTGAGGATGGAGACAACTATTTTTTTGTTGAGCCACACAAAATTTTGCTGAATTATATTTGACGTAATCTCCTTAGTATTACTTTATGAGTTAAGCATTATAGTTCATAGAAAGCACTTTCAGATAAACAAGTCCTCATAACACCTGATATGAAAGCTTATTAAAAATTGAAATGGTAATGAAATATGAAATTGAAAAGTTTAATAGCTTAAAGAGTTTTGACCTATGAAGAACTGACAGGTGAAGCATGTTAGCCCAGCATGGACTCGTGTTAAGACTGTGAGTGATAAAGAGAAAACAGCAAGAAAAACTCCCTAATAATTCCAGTTATGTTTGGTGAATGAGGCCATAGCAAAAGTATATGAGAAAATAACCATAAAGGGATTCACCAAAATATTCTACAATAATTTTTTTGCACATTCGACTCTTTAAGAAAGCAAAAGTACGCTCTTATTAAATTCTATCTTAAGTTCAATTTAATTCCTCAGAAATTTGAGAAATATTCATGTACTAAGGAACATCAATCTTTACTATACCTCTTTTAAGTAGTTCTACAACTATGTTTTAGATATGATTAACTTGGAG